TAATCTTCTATGTAGTTGCCATTTTCAATGACCCAGTAATATTGTGTCACAAAGAAAACATCTACTGAGGGAATGTAGACATGTGTATCCTGTTATTTCTATTGCGAGGTTATCTTCTTCCTATGTCTGCCTAATGCACATTTGTAAGTCTTTGGAATTGGAATTTTCAACTTCCAAGACAACTTAGCACACGTGGGCTAAATGGCCATATCAAAGAGCACTAGAACCTAAATACAGCTTCTATAATTTTGAACAACTGAATTGGTGAAGGTAACTTGTGAACAATACTTACCGCCACAATGGCCTTGTCCGGCTATGTGTTGTTATGTGTTGAATTTAACGCAAAACTAATCGAGGAATATGCGCTATCTGCTTCTAATTTTGAAGTAATAAACAGAAGAATCGAAAGCTGGCCAACAACACTCACCGCCAACTTGGGGACTACTATAAAGGAATAGTAGGATTTGATAGTCACTCTTATTAGTCCCCCTCCCCACAAAAAACAACAACAGCTGCGAAGCACGATTTTTGTTTGATAATAACATGATTTGATAGTCACTCTTATTAGTCCCCCTCCCCACAAAAAACAACAACAGCTGCGAAGCACGATATTTGTTTGATAATAACATGACACGAACTACGAAATCAGTAATACGTAGTTCAACATGATAACCATTGAGCCGCGCTCGACCTTTGTTTCTGTGAACTAAATAACAGCAACAACCGCATGTTTGCTAATGTATGCATTTACAACTGAAAATTAAGAGCGTATTTAGCAGTATCATAGCAGGAACAATTGCATGTTTGCTAATGTATGCGTTTACAACTGAAAGTTAAGAGCGTATTTAGTCGTATCATAGCAGGAACAATTGCATGTTTGCTAATGTATGCGTTTACAACTGAAAGTTAAGAGCGTATTTAGTCGTATCATAGCAGGAACAATTGCATGCTTGCTAATGTATGCGTTTACAACTGAAAGTTAAGAGCGTATTTAGTCGTATCATAGCAGTAACAATTGCATGCTTGCTAATGTATGCGTTTACAACTGAAAGTTAAGAGCGTATTTAGTCGTATCATAGCAGGAACAATTGCATGTTTGCTAATGTATGCGTTTACAACTGAAAGTTAAGAGCGTATTTAGCAGTATCATAGCAGGAACAACTGAATGTTTGCTAATGTATGCGTTTACAACTGAAAGTTAAGAGCGTATTTAGCAGTATCATAGCAGGAATAACTGCATGTTTGCTAATGTATGCGTTTACAACTGAAAGTTAAGAGCGTATTTAACAGTATCATAGCAGGAACAACTGCATGTTTGCTAATGTATGCGTTTACAACTGAAAGTTAAGAGCGTATTTAGCAGTATCATAGTAGGAACAACTGCATGTTTGCTAATGTATGCGTTTACAACTGAAAGTTAAGAGCGTATTTAGCAGTATAACTTCTAGAATCCTGGACCCTTTGATCCATAGCTTGGTCCATAACAAGATAAAAACTTCTAGCAATAGCATTTTTCTGAACTTGGGGTATTTCTGACGTGGAAATAAGCATCCAACTGAAATTTGGCAAGTAATGTTTTACCCAACTTTTTTACGCTTCATAAGTTCTATTTAAATTCATTTAGCAACTTGCCTAAGTCCAATCAGTGACGGGAGAATAAGAATGCTTGAGTTAACATGTAGCATTTGGACAACAGCCAGTGGAAATCTCTAACCGAAGAGATGTGTTTTCCTTTCGTAGTTTGCTTCACCTAATATGTACGGAAATAAATGCGTGTAATACTTACGTATTATATTCAGACTACTTCTACTGGTAACACCTGAAACAAATGTGTGTAATAATAAAAAAACAACATTCAGAGTACTCCTATTGGTAACCTCTAACTGGAAACAAATGTGTGTAATAATAAAAAACAACATTCAGAGTACTCCTATTGGTAACCTCTAACCGGAAACAAATGTGTATAATAATAAAAAACAACATTCATAGTACTCCTATTGGTAACCTCTAACCGGAAACAAATGTGTGTAATAATAAAAAACAACATTCAGAGTACTCCTATTGGTAACCTCTAACCGGAAACAAATGTGTGTAATAATAAAAAACAACATTTAGAGTACTCCTATTGGTAACCTCTAACCGGAAACAAATGCGTATAATAATAAAAAACAACATTTAGAGTACTCCTATTGGTAACCTCTAACCGGAAACAAATGCGTATAATAATAAAAAACAACATTCATAGTACTCCTATTGGTAACCTCTAACCGGAAACAAATGTGTATAATAATTATCTATTACATTTTGACAACTTCCACTGGTAACACCTAACCGGAAATAAATGTATGTAATAATTGTAATAATAAAAAATAACATTCAGACTACTCTTATTGGTGACCTCCTCTAACCGAAAACACGTATATGTAACAATTACATATAACACTCGGACTACTACAATTGATAACTTCTAACCCAAGAGAAGGATGGATTTATAAATATGAACTTTGACACATTTAACTCAGACACCAAATTCTTATTATATTCTAAATATATTCGGTGCGAAAATATGTTTTAAGAGTGCAGTAAGCATTTGAAGTTATAATTTCGACTTATAGTAAGATAAATGTACACATGTTTCAAACTTTGACTTTTTTTCAGTACTGAGACTTTTGACTTTCAAGAACTATGATCTGTGAGTACTGTAAATGAAATTACTGTCTCAGAAATGTTGTTATTTGAATGTAGAAATTTAAATACAAATATTTTACTTTCACCAGTTGCGGGTGAAAAATATATAATTTAAAATTTGTATGGACACTTATTTGCAAAATAAATATTGTCTATCGCTTAATTGTGGAATATATTTATATATATTTATCTACCAGATCATTCCAGTTTCATTTTATGTTCCTTTAAAGACGTTGAATTAAAGAAAACCACGGATGGGCTTGAGTGTGACACTAGTTTACGTAAGCAACACTAGATGGCACTTTCTATTCAGATGGATTCAACTTTTTAGTGGATTTTTTTTTAGTGCAAAGTTATACACCAGACAATCTGCACTCTGTACACCGCATGGTTTTAGCGTTGGAACTCAGTAAACTTATTACTGACTCACTGAGGGCACCTCTTTGATACAATTATATTTTCTGAAATATACATATTCCACAGATGTTCTGAAAACGTTAAATTATTTTACATTATAATAGCAAAATTCATTTTTTGTGCGGGTTTAACTGTTCAATAAAAACAACAACTGGTAAAAGTCGGATTTAGCCGAAAGTAGCCCTAATGTGTTTAGACACAAGAAATGCCTTTTTCGTGTCCATACGAACACTCCGTGTTATGATGCAAGTATTTTCAGCCAATTTAGGTCTACAAATGCTTTCTGAGTCGAGTTTGTACCCCTGGAGATTACGTGTGTGTCTTTAGATTACGCGCAGCACTGCATGCGGGTTATGCAGGGTTCACGCAGGCCGATCATATTGACACTACTACTATGCAAGCACCAACAGGACATAAGAAATCACAAAAAAAAATGATAGAGGAAACGTACATAAATTTAGGCCCTTTAGTTATTGCTTTTATACACAGGAAACAATAAAATTTTACCATTACATTGTTTGTTTATAGTTAAGCACAAAGTTACACTAGAGGCTATCTGTGCTCTGCCCCCCACGAGTATTGAAACCCACTTTCTAGGAGGAGTATAAGTAAGTCTGCAAACATATCGCTGTGTCTCTAGGGGGTTTATGTTTACCTAAGAAAATAATATACTAATGTTGAAAACGTTTGTTCAAAAATGCATATTTTTTTCCACCACGTCAATTCGTTTCTTTCAATCAACCAACCAGCTGGTCAGACATAAAAATAGTTTGCATTCGATAAAAACAAGAGATTGTTAAAAATATTAGGCCTGTTAACTTTAAATTCATGAATTTATCTCCGGACGGAAAATCGATACTCCAGAAGAGAGAAATGAAGTGCTGAATATTATTGCTTTTTCGAAAATGCGAACATTAAGAGAAAGATTAATGTTGAAGTAAACGCTCATGGTTTTGTCCATATGTGATGCAGTTCCACCAATTTCCGTGCAGGAAAGGGTTATCCGGAAGTTGATGTAAAAATGTTATCGCTGAAAGAAAATTCAGCAAAATTTGCCCCCCCCAGTGACGCAGCGGTATGTCTACGGACTTAAAACGCTAGAAACCCGTGGTGGTCAGAGCACAGATAGCCCATTGTGTAGCTTTGTGCATAACTACAAACAAACAAACAAAACCAAAATTTGAGAGAAGGAGCTAAATAGATCTCAAAATAGTATTCTAATATCAAATTTGTTCTCAGATTCGTACACAACGGTCGCGAAACAATATTACAGCCTGTCATTGCTCGGTGTGTAACATATTCATTCAAAAACATATTTCCGGAGATAGCTCATAAAAACTTATTAAGGACTTGACATTCCCAGAATTTTCTCAGAAGCAACAGTAGATATTATAGATTAGTAATATTAAGGCAATAAATATTTCTTTTTCAAAAAAAGCGAGAATAAAAACTAACGTCAATGTCGGGCTAAACGTGTATGTTTATTGTCAATGAGATGTGTTTTTATGAAGAAAAGGGTTACACGTAGGTTGATGTAAAATTTCTATTCCTGTTAACTTACATAAACTTGAGAAAAAGGACTTAATACCACTTTCGTGTCAAATTAGTTTTCAGAAGTAGTAGTTTCAGAAAATATCAATGCTCCCTATGGCATATCCAAAAAAGAACCCTGTCGTCCACATGTACGTACTTGTCCGTCGGTACTTAAGAAGTTGGCCAAAAAAGCAGGGAGCGGAAATCATCAAACAATCTACAATAATTTAATTTCAACAAATATACTCTTTCGACATGTGCCTGTTCTGCGTCCAAAAGATGCAGCACAAGTTAGAAATAAAGCTAAGTTTGATTGATCCATAGGGAGTTATACAATGTTTATGAATTGTATCAACAAATAGGAAATTATGTTTACCACTTCAAACTTCATCCGGAATTGTCTGAAGAGGTAAACAGACTTTGTAAGTTAGAAGATCCGGAATTCGTACTTTGTGTTGTTCTACCGGAATTGTCTGAAGAGGTAAACAGACTTTGTAAGTTAGAAGATCCGGAATTCGTACCATGTGTTTGTCTACCAGAATTTTTTGAAGAGGTAAACAGACTTTGTAAGTTAGAAGATCCGGAATTCGTACTTTGTGTTGTTTTACCGGAATTGTCTGAAGAGGTAAACAGACTTTGTAAGTTAGAAGTTCCGGAATTCGTACTTTGTGTTGTTCTACCGGAATTGTCTGAAGAGGTAAACAGACTTTGTAAGTTAGAAGGTCCGAAATTCGTACTTTGTGTTGTTCTACCGGAATTGTCTGAAGAGGTAAACAGACTTTGTAAGTTAGAAGATCCGAAATTCTTACCGTGTGTTGGTTTACCAGAATTGTTTGAAGAGGTAAACAGACTTTGTAAGTTAGAAGATCCGGAATTCGTACTTTGTGTTGTTCTACCGGAATTGTTTGAAGAGGTAAACAGACTTTGTAAGTTAGAAGATCCGAAATTCGTACTTTGTGTTGTTCTACCGGAATTGTCTGAAGAGGTAAACAGACTTTGTAAGTTAGAAGATCCGGAATTCGTACCTTGTGTTGGTCTACCAGAATTTTTGAAGATGTAAACAGACTTTGTAAGTTAGAAGATGCAGTTGTTTTGTCTTATGACACCTTTTTTCAATCCTGGAGATTTTGATTTATCTGCTTCGTAATTGAACCCGTCTTGCCAGTGACAATAATGGTGCACGAAAAAAAACTTGAAGGAAACCATAGAGAATTTATTAGGATTTTAACATTTCAGTGGCCGAAGTTAAAGACACATCCAACAATAATTATTACCGATCGCAAGATGGTTACAATCAATGCGTTGAAAAGGGAATGTCCATGTGAAATAAGAGCGTTTTGTTGGAATCACCTGTTATCAGATATCAAATACTGGGTATAAAAACATGACGGTAAATCGGGAGACATACAGGCGTTCTGTAAACGTGTAAAGTAAGTTTCAATGTGCAAGCCACAAGATGAGTACCATGATATGTGTGATCAGATTAAATTCAAATGGAGCCAAGCCTTTCTTCATCACAGAAATCCAGCCAGTCATACTTTCCTCCGCCAGCAGGTGGGTGCTCTGGAAGTTGTAAGTTTACAGGCATGATTCGGGGATTACCACAAATGGAAGCGAGAGCTTTAATGAGGTGATGAAGCGTGTGGTGGCATTCATCAACATGGAACGCATTTTGTATTACCTACTAAAGTTCTTGTTGCCTCGGAAATTTCAAGCTCAAATAAAAGTTTGTCGTATTAAAAGGCAGAGCATCCGAGACAACTTTTCTATATATGTTCAGCAACCCTGAAACAGTCGTGCAAGCTGTAATGGATGCCAAACAGCAACTTCGAACAGAGCAGCCCATCCCAACTGGCGAAAACAAGAGTCAATTAAATATGGCCAAAATGGTCATCCAAAACCAAAAAATTACATGCGTTGCAGAAAAAAACTGTTTTTTGATGCAAGGGTTTAATGGGGAATTTTTATTCTGTAATGTTCTTCCTAAAAGAGTCTCGTCCCTGTGACTCCAGGTGCACATGTTACCACATCGTGGCATGTCGACCTGCCATGCCACCTGGGGTAACGAACAAACGATGAATAAATTTCTCCAAGCTCAAAAAAACAAATGTCCCAAAACGAACTCTGGCCACAAGTCGCCCAGAATTGAATATCTAGATTTGGACATCATGAGGCTCCTGATTCCATGACAACAATGGTGGAGGAGGATGCCTGGAACATGGACGATATTTTTCCTCCATCAACTCCAGGTCCCAATAATCCACATTCTCCAGGGGAAACCATGTTTTCCAAACCCATAGATACGTCAATACGAATGAAAAGGCCACATCAACCAGCTTACAATGACTTTGTGAATGAAGAAAACCAAACTCCAGTTCCTTGGAACAGTTATATATTAAAGCTTCAAAATGTTTGTTTGTAATTAAGCACAAAGCTACACAATGGGCTATCTGTGCTCTGCTCACCACGGGTATCGAAACCCGGATTCTAGCGTTGTAAGTCCGCAGACATACCGCTGTGCCACTGGGGGGCGCTTCAAAATGTAAAGCAAGGTTCAGATGTTGTTTGGATCGTAGGTCTTTTTCAGGTCAATAGCACCGATTTGGCATCGCTTTTACCCAGTGGTTGACTAACAGAAGTCGTTATTTCGTGTGTGTATCAACAAACATGTGAAGATAGTACCGTTAGTTTTATTTTTGTAGATTCGCACACTGTTGATGCGTGGGAGAAGGGGGAACTAGGTATGTTGTAAAGTGGGCATTAGCACATCGCATATTTCAGAAAGACATCTGGTTATGCCTCGTCTTAGCACATGGTAATCACTGGATTCTTCTTGTTGTGGTTCGAAAGTTATGTCGGTTGACTGTTATCGACTCTTATGTGATGAAAATTAAAAATGCGACGTTTGTAAGTAACGAACAAGAAAGTAACTTTATATGTCTCCAACAAAATCGTTATTTTAGCCCGACTCTTCACGCTTGTTATTTTAACATAAATAGTTATTTGGATGAGTATAATCTACAGGTATATTATCTATTGTCCCTCCTGAGAAAAAAAATAAATTTTTCGTTTATCATAAATTTTAAGAGCAAGCAGATTTTGTGTGAACTCAACTTGTTATATAAACATGGCGAATGGAATGACGGGCTGCAATAAAGATTATTTCTTGACTATCGTGCACATTTCCAAAAACTTAATTGACATTGGCAATTCGTTTGTCTGAACACATTATAAAGGCTATCTGCGGCTACCTCCGACAATTCCGGGGGCCCAAAATCGACACAGGGGCAGTTATCGACCTAAATTGGCTGAAAATACTTGCACCACAACACGAAGAGTCCGTGGGTACACGAAAAAGGCATTCCGTTTGCCTGAACACATTTCAAAAGCTACTTCCGACTACGTCCGACACTTCGGGGGGCCCAAACTCGATCCAGGGGGAACTTGTCGACACAGACTGGTTTAAAAGACTTACATCACAACACGGAGAGTCTGTAGATACACGAAAAAGACATTTCATTTGTCTGGACACATTATTCTCCTGTAGGACAAAATAAGAAAAAGTAAATAAGCTTTAAGCATTAAACACAGAAATCAGTTCTCAACAAAACTCCAAAATTAGCAAATCAGATTTCAGCATTCTGGTATATTTAACCAAATTGCACTTAAGGATCCATGAATCAACTAGGAAAACGGCATTACTGCAGTGCCCGCTATTTATGCGCAGTGCAGCAGTTACATACCCTAATGAATGGTCACTTAATGTGTATTAAAATATCGTTGACACTTACCCATTCGAACAGCTGACTGTTCATACACAAAAACTGTTTGTCAAGAAGCATGTGCTATCTAATTTCCCTTTTTTACAGAGAAGAATAAGCATGTCCTGCACATTGTTTAGTTGTCACTGATGTATGACTGACTGATCCTGCACATTACCTAGTTGTTAGTAATGTATGATTTACTGATCCTGCACACTACCTAGTTGTTAGTAATGTATGATTTACTGATCCTGCACACTACCTAGTTGTTAGTAATGTATGATTTACTGATCTTGTACATTACCTAGTTGTTAGTAATGTATGATTTACTGATCTTGTACATTACCTAGTTGTTACTGATGTATGACTTACTGATCCTGCACATTACCTAGTTGTTACTAATTTATTATTTATTGATCCTGCACATTGCCAAGTTGTTAATAATGTATGGTTTACTGATTCTGCACACTACCTAGTTGCTAGTAATGTATGATTTACTGATCCTGCACATTACCTAGTTGTTACTGATGTATGACTTACTGATCCTGCACACTACCTAGTTGCTACTAATGTATTATTTATTGGTCCTGCACATTGCTTAGTTGTCACTGATGTATGATTTACTGAAAAGAAAACTAATAGGATATCAAGAAACATCCCCTGAAACTTTGACTGTTTCTTCCCCTACACACACCCGCACATATGAAGTTTCACTAAAGTCGAAACAAATCTTCCCTCTGATCGGGAGTAAATAAGACTCAACAAATTATGTTTAACGAGGAACTATTACGTAATATATGTTTACCCTTGTTTGAATTGTAACAAAATTTCTAATTAATTTTTATTTTGTTTTTAAAATGTTTTTAAATTATATAATGGATTCTATATCGATCGAAAAATATGTTTATATTTAAAATTTCAAACACACTTGTTTTATGTTTTTGTGTCACATCCTTAAATGATTTGAACTAAGTTATTGTCGGGAGTGGCCCAAACGTTTGAGTGTACAATCGTGAATCCGTGGTTTCATGATTCGCTAACCGTTGTCATAAAAACGCACCCTGCTTCTTGAAACCGTGAATATACCATAAATGCAACAGTCAAATCCGTTGCGCAGCTTTGTGCGAATTTCTGAAACAAACAAACAAACTGAAGCGGAGGTGTCTAATAGTCGGAAAATGACAAAGTTTGCCATTACTTTTAACAAAGTTTGCCATTACTTTTAGCTATATCTTTAACGGAGCCAAGATTAATCGAATCAAAGTTATCTCGAGAAAATAAAACAAAACAGAATTCGATTCTCATAAGTACTTATATTTTTGACTCAAGAGATTTTAATGCTTAAACTTAGCATGCATAAACATACGTAGTATTATTATATATTGTGGTATATTATGTCAACGAAAAGAGACAAAATCCATACATTTCACAGTTTTAGAGAGGAAAAAAACATAAGAACATTGAAGCAAATATTTTGAAATAAAGAGAAAACCAGTAGAAGAAGTCAACCATTATACATACAAATGCAACAATAAGTAGGTTTTTCTGTTTTATTTCTTTCTATTATTCGATCGTTTAGATATGATTTAGCATATTCTACCATAAATACGGCGTATATATTAGTTGGATATATAAGCACGTGTTCTTGTTTGTTTTCCAATGGAAAGTAAATATTAAATTGTTCGAACGACAATGAAATTGTAACATTAAAAATGGTGACTAAAAGTACGGGTACAAAACGACATAATAAACAACTTATTGTTTCATTCAATAATACCATAAAACTTCAGTTATTTAAATTGTTAATAATTCTATCCAAAATGAAAATGGTTTCTTTTACGACTTAGAATTGTAATATCTTGATTAGAAAGACAGCGAGTCTTTGCTGACTAAGTTTCATTTCTTAGGAAACGTAAGGAGCTGAGAAAATTGGAAAGAGAAGTGTATGCACATTTAACACACTGTATTAGATATTAGGTAGTTTATGCACATTTAACACACTGTATTAGATATTAGGTGATAATTTATTTTTGATTCATTAACATATATTTGAATTCAATTTTAAAACTCCTTTTGAATTATTAGCAAATATTTAAGCTCAGTTTTCAAAACGAAACAAAAATGTAATGAAACTTAACATAGAACACAATATTTATATTTGGAAATAGTGAGATAGACCTTGAAAATCAATACGTGACTCTCTCGAACAAGTCACAGCAGACTGAAGTCTCCACGAAGGCTGTTTTTGAATAGTGTCTCAATACATTGTTAAGGAAATTTTGTAAACCTGAAGATTGAT